TTTTTGCGCAGTACTGTAGGGGCTCAGACAATGCTGTTGTAGCCTGATGCTCCCATGGTAAATATGGCCCCTACAATACATCAAGACATGCTTCGGTGAAACAAATATGGCCAGCTACAGCACTTGGTACACCATTCGGCTTCAATGTCAGTCTTGGTCATTGCTCTTTGCGCGTGCTGCCTGTGCAGTTTTGACTCGACTTCTTTTTGTAGTTAATAAGTATCGCACTAAATCACCGCTACAGCTCAATTACCCTAGTTACCTTCCTGCAAAGAGCTACCCATCAACCTCCCAAAAAAACAATGAGGATTTGCGTGTCAATCCATAGTTCGGAGTGGAATGAAATGATTGCATGCTCTGTCCCACAAAGGCCCACAGTTGTCATGTGCGAGGCATTCAACGCAGGGAGGTTGGTCTCCGGATTTTATCTAGAAGATATGGGGTTTCCCCAGAATTAGGTCTCTTATTTTGGGCTTCCCAAAAATTAGGATTATAGTATTGTTGGGGCTACATTGGGATCCCCTTATTTTGGGAAACTACCATCTACTATAGTCATCATAGATGAAAGGAAGAACCCGACGTGCTGGCCAAATTGATCATTTTTGTCTCTACGCTTGTCGTGGCTGCTAGCCTAGATGTTTGTGTGAAACTTGCCGATTTCTACGCTCACGCATGGCAAAGGAGAGGCAGCGAACGCCTGCTTTTTTAGAGTGACATCTTCTACAGTGGGGTAGCCACGTTAGCTGGAAATCTCCGTCAGATGCACAATAGCTGCAACAGCACCTTGGCACTGATGTGCTAACATACATGCCGGTGCCAGAAGGATCAACAGCTTCCAGGACTTCCTTAACAGTTGCTTTTCAACAAAGGGCCTGGCATCAGATTAGAAGTTGCAATGCAGAAATCATGCTCCGCCCCATGTAGAACCTGTGGAAGAATTGTGCAGGGGGACTCCTCTTGAGGAAGAGAGAGAGAGAGAGAGACTACTTGGAGAGACATCCACGGAGGCTCCCACCTCCCTCCTGACTGCCTCTGTCCATATAGTCGCCCCTATATACCCCATTAATGTAGGGTTCGGATTACAAATGAGGGTCGTATTAGAGCTAAATCAGCCCGAACGGAATAATAAAAAGGGGGTCGTATTAGAGCTAAATCCGAGCTGAACGGATTAATAACAACATAGGAACGGAATAGTGCA